CGATTCGATTCGCAAACTATAACATCAAGCTGGATAAGCTGTTGCCAGCATGCTTTGCTGATATCCAGCGATGTATGTTGGAAGGGCCTATCTTCTCTTTATCTTCTCTAGCTTCTATCAAGCGCACGTCACTTCCGGTGACACGCCTTCCCCAACTCTCAGATATTGAGTATACTTCCATTTGTAGCAAAGCTTTGTAGAAATGGCTTGACTGATCTAATGTTAGGGTACTTCTGAGTAGGAAATAGAAAAGAGATATATCAACTCACCCTGGAACCTGCTAGATATCAGCTCACTACGGTTGGTGAGATATGTTTTGCAAAAACGACATACAACCACTCGAAGGCCTCCTGCGCCAAACAGAATGAATATTATTGCGAATCACAAGAAGAGAAACTAGAGCAGCAAAGAGCACCGAATAAAAAGACATACCATGATTCTCAATGAAGATTCTGCCCATAGCTCTTCACCATACACAGAGCAACCCGTAAAATAAGATGCTTTGGAGAAAACTGACAAGAAAAACGCAGAAGAATTTCGGGCAAATTGAGGGCAGTCAATCAGCTGATCCGGAACCAGTGCACTAGTTCCGTCGCCTGCGCTGCGGCTCTGCCGCGCTCCGTGCTTATGGAGCAGGAAATCTCATGCCTAACACGCTACTTAATTGCGAAAAATTCGTTGACTGTTCACGGTTCGTGGGGAGATCTTTGATACAAATTAATTCTCCATTTATTCAACAGCTTTTGGCAAATATAACTCTAGTACTTCTTCGCTAAAAGTCCGTTTCCTAGTAACGTTTTGTTGCGTGACACGACGTCGCAAGGCATGAAGGGGGATAAATTGCGAATCAAAAGTCACTTTGTAGTGGTCAAAAACACTAGATTCGATGAGGGAGACGTCTAAGACATATTCACTTGCGGAGGAACATGCTGCCACATTCTGTTTTTGCCGTAGGCGTAATCGTGTAACCTGCTCTGCCCTCAGAGAGGAAAGCGCTGAACTGCGTTAAACTACATTGACCATTGCGAAAAATGGTAAGTGGTCAAAGGTGATGGAAAGGTGGAAGTGGTCTAGCAGCAAGTGGCGCTGCTCTCCACGCGTGCAGAGATCCGGAGATCAAATCCTGGATTTTGCGCCGTCCTGCCAACCAAGCTTTCCATCCCTTCGGGTTTAGTTGATTGGAACCAGACTTGTCCAGGAGGATAAGAACACTGGCTTGTACTTCGGCTGGCCTGCGCATGTCACTGCATAAGCCAAAGTCCCATTAAAAACGCTATACGATTCCGGATGGATGTAGAATATATGGCGCATCCCACAAAAGAATGATCAATGCCTGATCCTTCATCGCTTTCTTTGTTAGCACTATTTTTGAAAGTCTTCACGTTCCTTGTATATTATAGTACAGATTTTCAGATTACGCTTTTCTTAACACTCTTCAAATGTCATTTTCAAGAAGCGATAATAGCAATCCTGCTTCGAATCTACAACGCTAGAATTCCGATGTTCTTAACTTTTTTTAGTGAGGCGGGCGCCGGAGGACAAATCTGGTACGGAGAAATCAAGATAACCCCAACCATTCGTGTCTTGAAAAGAAAACGAGTAGCCAAGGTCTTATCGTAAGGCTCAAAATGTGACTACATGTTCTCAGCCTGTCGACACCAAGCCAACGCCAGCCAGTAGGCTAAGCCTGCGCGTTCATGTTATAAACTAGGTACACTTTTTTCCCGAGGCTATGCTTGCCGCAGTTGCAGACAAAGGCCTTATGACCAGAAATTGTGAAATTGCAGAAATTGACGTGGCATCGATTCAAGAACATCTTTGAGCACACGTGATGTCACCTTTTCATCGAGAATTTAGCCACGTGTGCCAATGCCACGTCAATTTCTGCAATTGCACAATTTCTGGTCATTTGAAGGCGAGGTATATGTTCTTTGCTTATTTTCCATTGTCTAAATCATTCTATTCCTTTCAACAGTAACGCATGAGTCATTGAAGGCACAACCAGCAGAGTCTGTGACTTTTTCTTTCGGCTTTACAGATATAGTCCCAAAAGTCACGAACGTAAGCGTTCCCCGGAGCACGGCGAACAACCGACGAGAGCGCTTGGGCCTTCGCTAGGTAGCTCTGCAGGGTGACAGAAAATGTATTTTAATTTTTCCTTTTCTCTAGGCAGGCTGTTGTCTGGCGCTTTCTCATCTGTAGTGCTCTCTCGCCTCATGCTCTCCTCTACGCGCTTAGTCTCTCATTCCCTTAGCACAGCCGATCAGGAAGGTGAGTGAGCCCTTAAGCTAAGCGTTTTTGACGGATTCTTTCAGTTGCCGAGGACACATACGTCCCGCACTCTCACACGGAAGGACTTGTTTTTCCTAAATTGTGCCTCCATTTTCATGCTTCAAGACTGGCCCTTCCTACTGTTGGATACGAAAAATAGTTCTCTCGTTACCACTAATGAAATTATTGGTAATGTAGTAACTGTTAATGCAAATTTGTAAATAAGGTGGGTAGGTTCGCGCACAAGGGCGTGTCGTCAACGTGTTAAAACCCTGGCTTGATCTGCCCTAAAAGCGGAGTCCACGTGTGCGGTAGATCACAATTAAGGCAGAGGTGGATAGTGATACAGGGATGAAGAGAAGAACCGCGAGAAACGACCCAGAACCCGAGAAGAAAGATCCCATCCTTGCTCGTAGCTCCCGGTTTTGATGCGGCTCTTCTCGGTTGGTGGCTCCTTTCGAACGCTAGCGCGACTCTGCTGCCGAACGGGCTAAGAGGCCAGTCGATGGGCGTACAGCGCCGATATCTTGGGCGCAGAGGCCGTGTTATTCACCGAGATGTCCTCCGGGCTTTTCAGTCCGCACCCTTTGGGGGTCCGCTTTTCCTTCCCACCAGATAAGTTGCTCCCTCTCGAGGTGACCGAAGCAGCCCTTTTGTCGTTTCTGCTGGGGCCGCATGCTGAATGTTGGGGAGGGGATTGGTGTCCCCGACGGTCGACGGATACTTCAACTCGGTCCATAAAACCGCTTAAAACCTGAGTAAGCAAACCAGCCCTTTTGGCGGAGCTGCTGGACCAGCTGCACCACTTGCGTCATTACTCTCTCGGACCCTATCCCCTCGCCCAACATTCAGCCATAGGGCCCAGCAGAAACGCCAAAAGACTGTTTGCTTTACCTCCTCGACCTTTCGACCTTTATCGGTGAATCCCCCGTTATTGAAAATTGCGGGAGCCTTGAGCTTTCTGGGATGATATACGATTTTTGGCCTCATAATAGCAGTTAGTATTTATCTTTACCAGATTAGTCCCCCGTCAACCGCCGGGACCTTCCTTTCCTGCGCAAGCTTTCTATCCTCCGCTATGGTCCCTTCCTCCTGTGACACCAACACCTCCTGGAAGTGACGCGTATGCAACACAATGGTGTTTCATACAGTAGAAGGGACACAATCATGATATGACGGTAGATTTTTCGCTTCCCTTCCTCATCCTCCCTTCCTCTCTCCACTGCCCTCCAGCTGCCACTGCAGCACCATGTGGAATGAACGGAAGTGTGCTAAGCAGGTGTTTATATAGCCCCTAAGAGTGTTATCACAACTATCCTGCTACAAAACATTGATATCTCAAATCCTGTAAGCTACCCGATTTGTTAGCGGTTTGTTTATCCCATGAGCTTCCTTCTCACTCACTTCATTTTGCGGACGGACACACGGACATACATACATACATACACACACACACATACAGATACACAAACCGACACACAAAGTTAGCGCTTTATAAAATAGAAGGATATATAGATTTCTCCTTTTCTTTTATGTTAATTGAAGAGCGGTGGTGAAAAACAATGGATGGTACAAGTGCGACATCAATTGTCCTCCACCTCAGACTACCGTAATCATTTCGGACACAATCCAAAATTTCACCTTCTTTCGCCATAGCGTTCCTTCAGTGCAGCAAACGTTCCGGTAAATGTTTTCCGTCTGGCCGATCAAATGCTGTGGATTAAATATTGTTTAGTGTCCAAACTGGACAATGACGCGCTGCGTGTTGTAATGTTGCAAAGCTACGTATTATAAGGCGACAAATGTCGCCTTATAAGTACCGTAGCTTTGCAACATTACAACACGCAGCGCGTCATTGTCCAGTTTGGACACTAAACAATATTTAATCCACAGCATTTGATCGGCCAGACGGAAAACATTTACCGGAACGTTTGCTGCACTGAAGGAACGCTATGGCGAAATAAGGTGAAATTTTGGATTGTGTCCGAAATGATTACGGTAGTCTGAGCTGAGGACAATTGATGTTGCACTTTACCATCCATTGTTTTACTACTTGTATTGCATTAACACAAACACGAAGGAGAAATTCAGTACTCATTTATGAACGATAAACTACTCTGGCTGGAGAGGGAGCAAAAAATGCTTGCATCATCCCAGACAAGTCAAGGCTCCGCAATTCAACAAAGGGGGATTCCACGATAAGGTCCGAAAGGGTCGCGGAAGGAGTGAGCAAACCAGCCCTGTGGTGTTCGCAGGATCCGTATGCTGAATGTTGGGTAGGAGGGTCCCGACGGTCGACGAACTTCGAACTCGGTCGTACGGAAGAGTAGTGACCAATGGCAGCTGTCCCAGCACTCCGCAAAAAGGCTGTTTTGCTTACTCAGGTTTAAGCGTTTTAGACCGAGTTGAAGTAGTCCGTCGACCGTCGGGGACACCATCCCCTCCCCAACATTTCAGCATGCGGCCCCAGCAGAAACGACAAAAGGGCTGCTTCGGTCACCTCGAGAGGGAGCAACTTATCTGGTGGGAAGACAAGCGGACCCCCAAAGGGTGCGGACTGAAGCCCGATAGAAACATCCTTCGTGACATATACATGCCCCTGCCGACGAGATTCCAGAGAGAGCGCATAGCTTGAACGGTAGCACCAACCGAGAAAAGCCGCATCCCCAAAGCGGAGCTACGCCACCCGCAAGGATGAAGATCTTTTCTTACCTCGGGTTCTTGTTCGTTTTCTCGCTGTTCTTCGTTACCCTGTATCCAACGATGCAACCTTAACCTTAAAGCCACGAGTCAGGATTAGGTAACCCTAGAAGGCCTTTCCATCACTAATATTTCCAGGAATGCGCTCAGAGGGGTGATGCCACACTCCTGTCTCGAGATTGCGCGCCGTCAAGGCTTCTGGCCTACTACTTTCAGCGATGGGTTCGTTACATCAGCTGGTCCCGCCCACCGCGGGATGTGTGCTGCTGGGGCTATCTGGTGAGATCAAGCTAGTGATTGCCGTATCAACCGATGAACGGCTGGCATATCCGGAAAACTCGTTTGGACGTGGCTCTCCCCCGAGCAAGCCTCTTTCACTGCTAGAAGAGATGGGGTTTCGATTTCGGTCTTGTCGACGGTTTCTTTGTGTTTTTTCTTCACTGTCGTTCCACCTCCCATCTCTACACTCACTCAATTTCAGTCGCCATAATGCCCAAACACGAGCCTGACTTTTGCCTTAAGTTACTTTGGTTAACGGCAAGGTCAGCTTGGGTAGGGAAATAACAAAAATCGGATATGAGAGTGTAAATTACAGTATCTTTACTTGTTTCGCAACGACACTTTGTTTCAGCACCCATCACCGTGAAAATCCAAAACAATCGATACAACTTTGTGTTTTGGTTTAAAGTGACGTAAAGGCATGCCCTAGAATCACACTGGTGTGGCTCTAGTACACGAATGCGAATGTATTGGTGCGAATTGGGCCCACAGTAAAGAAAAAAAGATAATCGAAACACTATTTAAGGCTCATTCACCTTCCTAATCGGCTGCGCTAAGGGAATGAGAACTAAGCGCGGAGAGGAGAGTATGGGCGAGAGAGCGCTACAGATGAGAGAGCACCAGACAACAGCCTGATAAGAGAAAAAATCTGCAGCCTTGCAGCTTACTTTGCAAAGCTCCCAAGCACTTTTGTCGGTTGGTTTCCGTGCACGGGAACGTCCACGTTCGTACTTCAGGGGACTATACTGTAAACCGAAAGGAAAAAAGTTCACAGACGACCGCTGCCTGGTTGTGCCTTAAGACTGATGCGTTACGTGAAAGGATATAGAACGATTTAGACAATGAAATAAAAAAGAATATCCACCCGTCAAGCCTTTCAAATCCCCACGCAATCTGCCTTTGCTGAATGACGTGCACTGCACACGTGCGAATTCTCGAGAAAGGTACATCACTTGTGCTCAAAGTTCTTGAATCAATGCCATGTTAGTCCCACGTTATTTTCAGCATTTGCACAATTTCTGGTCATTCGAAGGCCCTTTGTCTGCAACTGCGGCAAGCTAGCCTCGGGAAACAAAGTGTACCTAGTTTATAACATGAACGCTATATTTGTTTATAAATGTTCCTCTCTTATTTTACCTACTGGCTGGCGTTGGCTGGTGTCGACAGGCTGAGAACATGTAGTCACATTTTGAGCTTAACGATGAGACCTTGGCCACTCGTTTTCTTTTCAAAGACACGGATGGTTGGGGCCATCTTGATTTCTCCGTACCAGATTTGTCCTCCGGCGCCCGCCTCACTAAAAAGTTAAGAACATCGGAATTCTAGCGTTGTAGATTCGAAGCAGGATTGCTATTATCGCTTCTTGAAAATGACATTTGAAGAGTGTTAAGAAAAGCGTAATCTGAAAATCTGTACTATAAATAACAAGGAACGTGAAGACTTTCAAAAAATAGTGCTAGCAAAGAAAGCGATGAAGGATCAGGCATTGATCATTCTTTTGTGGGATGCGCCATATATTCTACTTCCATTCCGGAATTCGTAGTGGCATTTTGAATGCGATGTGGCCTATACAATGACTTGCGGGGGCCAGCCGATGTACAAGTCAGTGTTTTTATCCTCCCAGACAAGTCTGGTACCAATTAACCGACCCCGGAGGGATGGAAGGCTTGGTTGGCCGGGCGACTCACGACCCAGGATTTGATCCCCGGACCGCTCGCGTGGTAAGCGCGCCACTTGCACTACACCACTTCCACCTTTCCATCACCTTTGACCACTTACCATTTTTCGCAATGGTCATGTAGTTAACCCAGTTTACCTTTTCCTCTCTGAGCAGAGCAGGTTAACACGATTACGCCTACCAAAAACAGAATGTGTAGCTAATTTTACCTCAGCACAGTGAATATGTCTTGGACGTCTCTCATCGAATCTAGTGTTTTTGACCACTACAAAGTGACTTTTGATTCGCAATTTATCCCCCTTCATGCCTTGCGACGTCGTGTCACGCAACAAAACGTTACTAGGAAAGGACTTTTAGCGAAGAAGTACTAGAGTTATATTTGCCAAAAGCTGTTGAATAAATGGAGAATTAATTTGTATCAAAGATCTCCCCACGAACCGTGAATAGTCAACGAATTTTTCCATTAAAGTACGTGTTAGGCATGTGCATGAGGATTAGTCTGGATTCGAAGGTCAGCCT